AAATGGTCTTGTGAAAATTTATAAATTAATAGATACTTATAATATGGTCTATTATATATCTGTTATTTCTAAGATTGATTTTACTACAGATTCTAACCTACATATAAAAGTTTTCCTTTCTGTATGTATTAATTTTATATCATCTGAAGTTTCTATATTAAACAAATAATTCAGCTTTTCAAGGATTATTTGTTTTAAATGAGCCAAACGATTTTTTGTAAGAGGTTGTTTAAAGCCTTTACCAAACGAATTTCTACTATTCAATAAATCAAACAACCAATTATTTCAATAAATTTGATCGTAGCATCACAATTTTGAAATTCTTTCACATCAGCGTTTTTCAAAAATTTAATTGCATTTGCTATAGAGGAACTTAAAGTATGGACAGCATATTGAACTTTCATTTTATTTTGCTTCCAATTGATGCATTGTGAATTTAACTTATTTTTTAATTTTAATGTTAATTGAACTGAATATTATGTAATTTGATAATATATTTCCATTTAATTTTATTATTTGCAATGCAAAAAACTTTATATTCGGCTAAAGCATTTCGAGCCAATTGTAATAATAAAAAGATTGGTTCCAAATTTTCATTCTATCTTATTTTGTTGATATCCTAACAACGGTTGAATTTTCGAAAAATATTCTAATATGAAAGTTATAAAGCTCATTGAGTACTATCGATGGAGTGATTACAAAGTACCCCTTTCCATCTAAAAGAATTTTTTTTTATTATCGGTGTGAAAAGCGGACATTCAAGGTTATTCAAGGTCACTAAAGTATGTGTTCCTACTTGTCCTACAATTTTTATAATGGATATCATTCTCTATCTCTAACCGTTTTCGAGAAAAACATGGTGAACTTTTGATCAGACCCTGTATATATAGGCTATATGTAGGCTAGATAAAGATCAGGATGAATTAATACACTTTAATTTATAAAAAATAATATATTCAGTCGAAGAAAACAATCGATATATGTGTCTCATAGCAAAATCGAGAAACTCTTCGATCCCGCTCAAACATATTCGAACTTCAAACGTGCGTGTCCCTAAAACAAAATGCTATCTAATTCCGCTTTTCTCAGCGGCAAAACATAATACACCAAACACACTAGTGACTAACTAAACATATATTCCTTACATATAGTATACGTAACATTTGAAATCCACGTCAAAGCAAGAAGCGCAGAGAGCTCTCACAATCAGATGTAGCAATATCTCTTCCAGTTTGATTGTGATCAGTGTCATATCGTATGCATTTTCTCTCGAAAAGTTTTTGTCATTTTGACGCTAGCTTTCTTGTGAAATCTATTTTAACAATTTTCGATTAGTACAATTTTCAATTACTTCAACTTGCAGTCGCAAACACGAATCACAGAAAAATGAAAAAGGCAGTAGGAGTCAAGCGACAAATGTTAATGCGCAAAGTATCTTCACAATTTCATTAATATATTTAAATTATATAAAAATCAAAAAATTAATTAATTTAACAATTTAACAATTTAATAAATTTGGTTGATTAAATTTTTTCTGAAGTTCTAATCTAAAAAAAAGATGAAGTAATTATTTACATTAACGGACACCTCACTGATGACCTTGACCTTCACATATGTTGCTGATTAATATTTTTCACTTTGTTTTATTTGGCGGTCTCGTATAGTTTTTGAAATATTTAGTGAAAAAGATTTACTGAATAAAACGTAATTTTCCGACATCATATACATTTAATAGAGCGTACTCTTAGCAGATTTATTTATTTAAACGTGGCAAATAAAATGCATGGACGGGGGAGGGGCTCCGCCCCTCTCCCTGCACCTACACCCCGAAAAATTTTAACCTAACCCAAACCTATATCTGATTTCACATTAAAATTAGATTTGGGTAAGATTATAATTTTTTGGAAGGAAGAGGGTGCAGGGATAGGGACGAAGCCCCTCCTCCACCCATGCGTAAAAGTTATAATTTTTTGTATTTTTATAATTTTGATAAAAGATCGAAGTTTCCAATTCTCTATTCGGAATTTTAACATTTTGTATATTTAAATAATTAAAAATAAGAATCGCGGGCAATTGATCTTTTTACGAATAACTCGATGACTGATTAAATAATCAGTCAATTTCTTCTCGTTATTGACGATGCTAAGAAATTAGTGAATGATGCATGTTGACTACATGAGGGACGATTAAATGACCTTACTGAATAATACAGATACTCGAAATATATTGTAAACAAATATCTGATACAAGTAGTTTGTATATAGGTGTATAAGTGTATAGGTGTTTATTAAATAGATATTTAATATTCTCTTTTAAATGTGTATGGTACCAGAAAATTACGTTTTATTCAGTAAACCTTTCTCGTTAAATATCTCAAAAAATATACGAAACCACTAAATAAAACAAAGTGAATATTTATCAGCAACCTCACCCTCACAACATATGTGAAGGTCAAGGTCATTGGAGAAGTGTCCGTTAATGTAAATAATTATCAAAAATAAATCAATAAAATTAATAATTATATAGCTATGTAATTACACAAATATTTTTATTTGTGTAATTTACTACTATTCTAAATAATATTTCTATTTTTGTTCCTAAATATAATATTTTTCTGAACATAAAATATGTTTTATTGTTATAATTTATAAAAATATTAAAATTTCTACGTTTATTGCAATAATATTTTTATAATCCTATAAGACACCAAGTGCAAGAGAAATTTTCGTTGTCATTAGATCATTATGCATTCTTTGAAAAGAGATAAAAGTAATCTCTCTCGTCAACAAAGATAATAAGTTGCATTGTATAACTCTGAATAATGTTGAATAAAACTATGACGCGCAGTATATGCTTCTCTCACTCCTATTAAGTTAGCTTTGATTTTTATAATTTTTACAATTATTTTCTATGGATTTAAAATAAATTAAATAAAATTTCTAAATTTAATTTAATAAATTCAAAAATATATTGTTCTAACATGTTGGCGCATATCACCAAATCGGTGTTATGAGCGGATCTTAAAATTGTCTTTTATTGTGTCTCATGACAAAAAATCTAAAGGGAGATTCAAATCATCCCATTGTGTATCCATTTTGGTTAATCTATCACAGTTAGGAAATTTTTAATTCAAGATTTTCTTGTACTAATGTGTTATATGCAGACTGACCGTTTCATGTTTTTAATAAAAGTTTATTTAAAAATATGTTCCAACAGATATGTGAACAAGATGTCGGATAAAAGATCTGCACATTTTTATCTAGAAAAGAACCAATGATAATACATCATTAACAATTTCAGACGTTTACACTCTGCTGTTACTGATTAACTTGTCAACTTCTCGGATCTTTTACGGTCCGATAATGTATGTTTCTTTTCTTTTTAATTGACACGTTCATGATTTTTAAGAGGCTTCATCGATACATTATTAAAAAATAATAGATTGTTTTTAACCGGCCCTAAATTTATGTATGTAGTATATCCAGCGAACAAAATGTCACCGTCAGAGACGAAAATAATGACCGTGACCGTAACGATGATTGTACATGAATAGAGATGAGGAAGAAAGAAAGAAAGAGGCGCGTATAGAATGAAGTATAGAACGAAGGGGTAAACGAAGAAAGACAAATGGAAAATTCACTCTAGCAGTTTAAGCTATTTTCGTTGTTCGTTGTTATAAGCTTTTATATTAAAAAACAAAAACGAATTTCTTCGGACGGAAGTGTTACCTTTAGCGCGCCGAATTCGTGATACGATTGCGTGTTTCCGAGAGAGATGTATGAGAAAGGGGGGAAGGGGCGAGGACTGCGTATCGTTGTATGTGATAGCTGCGTACTAATTAATTACAGCTGCGTAGATTATCGATCCAAGCGTGTACGCCTCATATCGCGTACTGATCCGTCAGTTTTTGTTGATACGGTTACGTTTGTATGTGTTTTTTTTTCCTCATTGATTTGCGCATCAATTCTGCTTCTGCCAGAGCGATTAAACTAGAAATCGACGATAGTTTAACGAGATATTATTATACCGTCATTAATATACAAAGAGGGCATACGTATCCCGGAATTGATGGACATATAGAGTTGTTCGTTGTATAATACAAAACGCGAATTTTTTCTTATCAATAATATCATTAATTATTGTTCCGCTCGATATTTTAACAGTTAAACGTGAAATTAAGATTTTGTTAAAGAAAACTCGGTTTGTATTTCAATAACGAATAATCTCTTGTATAATCCAGGAAAATTATTGTCATCTGAACGCACAAGACATTCACTTTTTGTCAATTCTGGGGGACGCTTTATTTTCATAAATAACATTCGCCATTTTTTCATTGATATAAGCGAATTATCAATTTTGTTATCCTTGTTAGCAGGAGCGGATCTTTATCGCGAAAGGATTTAATGGATTTTCAATTTCTGTATTTATTCTAAATCTGTCGTCTCCGCGAAATTTTCAGTTCCATTAATGACTAAAAACGAAATAAAGAAAATAGTAACAATGCTTTTGCTTTTCCGAGACATTTCGATCATTTCTCATGCATGTGGTCAGAATTTTTATAAAATAACCCTATTTTTAACTATTTAACAATTATGATCAAACTTTCTGATTGATTCGTATATAAAGAATTACTATAATAAATTAATATAATGTTAATTATTAGTTGTGATTAATTTTATTTTATCATTGTTATAGTTATTATTATTGTAACATTATATATTATGTTATTGTTTATTTATAAAAGTTATTTGATACATTGTATGAGAAATTTATTTTTTTTTGAAAAAAATCACGACGGATGATCGTTCAGAAAAATATTTTGAATTTTTGAGCTTAAAAGAGCAAAATTTATATATTTTGATTTAGGATCAAGTAACCAGCGAATTTCAAGATGTCTCGGGAAAAAAGTCTCTCTTTCGCTTGCTAGACTTAAAAGTATTATTTTCTTTCATTATTACATTGTTACACACAGTGTGTCAAGTGGTTAACTCTGTTGACAGATCCGCTCGTGTTCAACAACAGCAGCAGCAACAGCAACAACCTCGATGTAATGCTAACATCTTACACCCGCCATTTGCGAACAGCGCGAATACTTTCGCTGGCGAATAGTTTAATTGACAGGATGCCAAATGTTAGTTCTAAGTAGTCCTCGTAGCGAATTACTCGTCTTAACGAGTCCTCTCGCGCGGACTTTGCGTATCGCATCACAGGGCAATATTGAAGTTTCGCATCTTCATCTGTCAAGGGTGGGGAGCAGGAAAAGAGAAAAAGAGAGAGAGAGGGGGGGGGCGCTGCGATCGCGATCATGAGATTCTTATGGCCTTTTAAATTTGTTGCTGCGAAAGAGCTGGGACAAAAATTTGTGCTTTGCCCGCTGTCAGTTTTTGGAAAAATAATCCTACCATCAAAATTTTTTTTGGAATTTTGTTTGCTGGAAAAATTGTACAATAAGTGTGTATATGTATATAAGATTATATTTTTCAAATTATTTTTATCATATATATATATATATATAATATGCAAATCAGCACAAATATATTTAATCGAACGTTATAGTAACAGATTAAAAAACTGACGTGATGCGAAAGTATATTCCAAGCAGAGTCCATTAATTATGCTTTGGGATATTAACTCCCTTGATACAAGAAGGGTTGAGAAATTCGATCGACGAACGTTTGTTGTCGCGCGGACGCGAATTTCCTCTGAGCTGCTTTGAAAAAATTTTTCTTGCTTACACAACGACACGATAGTTAATCTTGGAAGATCCACTCACCCATCGACGACGAGATGTAACTTTGTCATGCGAAATGGACATTCATATACAATCGTTTCTCGCTAAATTTTATTTCGCGAAGAAAGGATTATTTTTGTCATCGAGCAGAGCATTATCATCGACCAATCAAAGCGCGACTTGCGCTGTACGGACGAGGTTTACCCTACATACGACGATTACGTGGAATACTCATACACATACACATATTACGTGCATATCCTGTACTATATGTCGTAATGCGCAAGTATAGATAACGTCGAACATATCTTATATTGCAGTATGTTTTCTTTTTTTTTTTTTACATACATACAATTTCTCAAAGATTCTTCAATACTGATTATACGAATTTTATGCGAATGTTCGTGTCGAGAAGCAGTAGGCAATTAAATCGTGTTACAACTGTCAAAAATTTCCGACTTTAATCTCATCATTATCGTTATGTTAGTAGCTTGCAAAAGACACGATTTTTACGAAACTTATATATATTTTCAACTTCTCAAGAAAATTTATTTGCGCCATAAAAAGATAATAATTTTCAACGATGTTAAGGGTGTAAAATTCTCTTTTACGAAAAAATTATTTTCGCATTCGTGTAGATATAGTTAACGAAAGCGTGAGTGAAATTTTCAAAGTATCATGTCGCGATGAAATATCACAGGCAGACAGGATGAGGTTTTTCATACGGGACTTACACAAATTGTTGCTTGAAAGCCTCGCGCGATCTGTAACATTCGATAAACGTTCATACGAGTTACCGCGGTAAATGTATCTCAAACGATTGCGTGAAAAAATATTTATTCCGCGTGTTTATTCTCTGATATTTTTTATCTATATTTATTTTCGCGATACACGCGCGCGCGCGCGTACACACACACACACACACACACTTGAATTATTAAGATAAAAGACTTCATTCTTTTGTGTTTTATCCAAGGTAGTCGCTGTATAATTGAACTTTATTAAGATAAAGCATGACACATCACATAGACATACACATCTTTAAAATTTTAATTAATTTAAAAAATCGCGCAGTACAAAAGAAGGCCCCTCTTTCTATAATTCGATTAAAAAAGTTGTCCGACTGAATATTTATTAATTATTTCGAACACTATACTCTTGACAGTCTAATAAATCTTTTCTCATTGCATCAAATCTCTTTAATTTTGCACAATTATAAATAGACGCATAATCAATTAGGTATATAATTTCCAATCTTTCGGCGTTATACATATCTCAAAGAAAAAAAATGTAATTAAAAATTAATTGTCAGCATATTACAATGCGTTTTATGTAATTAAGAATTAATTTAATTATTGATTGATAATTGAACAAATTAATATATTCAAAAATAATAATTTAATTAATAGTTGGGACAACATAATTACAAATTAAACTACTAAGTTGAACGGTTTACGTGATTCGGATACTAATTGAATGAATAGTTAAAAAGTGTATGCACATTATCGTTTAATAATTTAATTAACAACTGATAAATTACATCTTTAATTAACAATAATGAATAATAAATGTAAATAGATTTTTGCTCACGCAGCTTCAGTTTTAAACATATTTTAATTATTGAAAGAGAGCACATTGGACATAAGAATTCCGAATAAACTATTCGGTAGCGTCCGACGATTAACAATAAGTCGTGTCAATCGCATGATCTCTTTTTATACAGTGTGAGTCACTAGAAATTACCTTCTAAGATATTTTCATAAATATTTGATTTTAGACAAAAAGATTTAAGACAAAAGTTAAATTATTTTGAAAGGGCTCTATTTTTTAGTTGGCTTAATCTTTTTTAGGTGTAGACCTCAAAAAGTTTTGAAGGTCATCTTAAGATTTTTCAAGGTCATCTTAAGATTTTTCAAGGTCATTTCAAGGTCACTCCACAATTAAGGTGTGTCATAAGTCGTTCGATTCATCTTTTTATCCTCTACAATTATAGTTGATTAAAAATAAGGCTTTCCATTTAAAAAACTTGAGATGATCTTCAGAACTTTTTGATGCTTGCACCGGAAAAAAAACACAAATAAGATGACCAAAATGTAGCCCTTTCAAAATAATTTAACTTTTGTCGTAAACCTTTTTGTCTAAACTCAATATTTATGAAGACGTTAGAAGAGTTAGAAGACAATTTCTAGTGACTCACCCTGTATATTTGATGTCGTGATGCTATCGGAGCGCGTCGCTTGATCACTTTTAATTTATTCACCTATCCACAGAGTAACTTCGATTTACGATATTGTGCGAATATTTAAAATGACGATCGGTATTCGAAACGAAGCGATTGATTGGTCGATGTATTGAAGTAATTGAAAATCGCCATAATTATGAACGGGCAAAGCGATTTTTTTTTAAATTTCTCTCTCTTTCTTTTTTTCCATTGCCTTTCGATTATTTAGTTCGACAAAGTTGTAAGTATAACTTATATTGTATTATATATAGGATATGCATATAGACCGTGGAAAATACCTCGAGTGTTTGAACGTAGCATTGTAAGTAGCTTACATACGATGGACGCTGTGATGAAGATACTTCAAACATTTCGACGACTAATGTTCTCGCGGTCGTACGCCTTGAGATTCAACGTTAATGCCCTCTCGATCTTCCCTTGGACTCGCGAGGGATACATCGATATCGTCTCGATCTTTCTCTTTCTTCCCTTCTTTTTCTCATTATTTTGATCAGCTTATGGATATCTCTTTGAAAGAAAAAAAAAAAATAGCGGGTGTCGCCATAGTTGTTATCAGTATCGTGTAGAGAGAATCTCTCTCTTGTAATCTCTTATTTTTACAATGCACAAATCGCGCATCTGTCATTTCTTTTTAAAATATGATAAAATATTTAGTAAAAGCGATCTCACACACAATATATTATTATACAGTAATACGGTGAAATAAATTATTACGAATTTAAAATATGATATTAATATTTGTTTCTCGATAGGAAATAACATATTGAATAATTAAAATAAGAGAAAATGCAAGAGACACATTCTCTCTCTCTCTCTCCCTCTCCATCTCTTTACAAAGATTCTGTTTTTATTCGTTATGATAAATCGGGAAAAATGTAATTTCACGCATGCGTCAAAAAACGATCCGTCATGTTTATCCGCAAAAATTAAAAAAGGAAATAATCAGTATAAGAGATGCATTCTTTCGTACCTATTACATCGGAAATTGAATCCACTGAGATTACGCCCTTTCCTAAAACTCCGCTGCGAACGATCGCTGATGATAGTAATAAAATCGCGATCGACGAACGATCGACACGACTCGTTATGAATCATGTATACGCGTGTCTCTCCGATCTCGAATCCCCCCTTCCTCCTCCTCCCGTCTTTACCCTTAAGAGAACGTTCGCGTTTTAATCGGTTCGAACCCGGAGAGAATCCTTGCGTCGCGAACGAATTCCCGACCCTCATTCACGCAACGTGTCCTCCTCTACTCTATATCACCGAGCGAATCGTATCGTGGTGCGACACTCGGTGCGAAAGAGGAAACGCGATCGATACCGAAAGAGAGAGAATGATAGAGAAAGAGAGAGAAGGAGGAAGAGAGAGAGAGAGAGGGGGAGAGAGAGAGGGGGAGAGAGAGAGAGAGAGAGCGATCCGTACCTTGAGCGAAATTCGCGACGTACCATTGCATGAGCGAGGCTTAAAAAACCCTTAACCCGAAGTATCCGAATAATTTCAAAAAAGGCGAAGGAGGGGGGATCTCGAGAAACTTTGCGGGCCTCTCGAATCTCTCTGTAAATAATCAGCATAGTAAACGTTATGCGTGTATAATAACGATTACGCGACGTCATTTTGCGAAGAATTAATATTTATTCATCAGATTGATTATAATTATTGAATATAATAATTTATATTGTTTAAAGAAACATTTATTTATATCTGATACCTTTATTATAATCATAAATTGGCGAATTTTTTTAGCAATTTTATATCTCATGAAAATCTGTCGACAATTTTCTGCAAACTCTCCAGATCGTTTTGCAAAATCAAGACAAAGTGGACATTTCGGGTTAAGGTAACGATATTTGAAAACGTCAAGTAGACTACAGCGCGTATGTATATATATATATATATACATACATACATGTGTGTATAGACAATATGTATGTGCGTATGCGAGAGAACACGAGCGGAATTCGGCCTGCTGATCACTCCGTCCGCGATAGATACACTGTAATTATATGCATTTGTAAATACTCAATTGACGAAGTACGTTAGGCAAAACACGACACGTACGCATCGCGTAATTGTAAATATTAAACATGGAGAAGATATTTGTTAAATATAGAATATGTTACGTTTTTCAAGAAACCATGTGGCATTCCGTTTATTTCCACCCGTTATATATACATGCATTCCTATATCCTATAAAAGGAATTCCTACAAGTTTCCATCAAGAAATTTTTCTCGATCCTTTCTCAAGGACAACAGTTGCTATATACAATAATTTTGTTATATAGGATAATCCAAACTTGCCGTTGCATTACTTGTACACTGTAAAAAAATTTTCTAAAAATTCGGACACATTTTTGTCTAAATTTTCAGATCTAAGTGTCTGAAAGAAATTTCAGACAATCTGTCTTAATCATCAGAATCGTTTTTCTAAAAGTTCAGGAGAGTGTGTCTGAAAATTCAGACAGCATTCTGTCTGAAAATTCAAATAGTGTATCTGCAAAAAAGCTGCAGACACTTTGTCTGAAGTTCCAGTCAATTTTTTTACAGTGTATTTACGGATCTCCTGATATCGGTAAATACTTCTCGTGTTACAGACAATTAAAAAAAAAAAATTGATTTTCATTGATCGAGTTAAGATTTGTGAAAAAAGAATGAAACTTTTGTTGAGAAAAGACAGATTTCAAGATCGATAAATTTGACCAAACAACTGGCATAATTCTGGAACATTCTACATAACAAAGTTCAAGTATCTTATTATCTCTTGTATTCTCGATAAGAATAACAACACGAAGAAGAACGAGAAAGAAGCAGGGAAGGTAAGATATGCGCAAGGTAAATACAAACTATCTTCTATCATCACATTTTCATATTCACTATATTTGTAAATTACATAAATTATATATACGCTACATACATATCGATTGCGTCGTCGTATACATATATTGTTTACATATATATATTCAGGCAACGTACACAGTTGAAAAATTTGTGTTTTCTTGTTAAAAAATATGCTGGTTAAAATTTAACACATTTATTTGTTAATTTAACATATTGCTGTTGTGTTAATTGAACTGAAATGTTAAATTATTAAAACAACTGAAAAAAAGCGTAGAATAGCACAATGTGCATATTTTTAATTTTACACAATAGATATGTTCCGTATTATTAGTGACAGGATTTATCTGTTAAAATTCAGAGAAAAAATGTTGATTTTATTTTATTAGAAGTAAGAGTGACTACAGACCGCCAATAACTTTTTTTCTAAATTAATTTTATCATTAAAAGAATGTTCATTTTTTACACAAAATTTATTTCAAATTAACTATAAAGTTTGCATTCATTTTGTGTTGAAATATTAACATAGTATTAACGTCACCATTTAACGTATCCATATTATATTAAATTAACATAAAAATTTGTGTGATATGTGGATCATGCGATAATTGTTAAAAAGTCAAATTTTCCAACTGTGCATAACAGCGGCTGATCAAGTCGAGTACTTATTATTGCTTAATCAATCGGCGCATTAAACGTGCTTTATCGCGCGCGTTGTGATAAAAAGCGCTCGTTTATAAGGCGGCCCTGTTGTGACAATTAACGGACGCGTCTCGCGTGCAATTAGCCGACAAGCCCCGAACGAATATTTCTTTTTCAGTGAACGATTAATACATAATATTTTACACGGATACACACACACACACACACACATACACATACATACATACGTGCGAGTGCGACGCGTGTCTCGACGATCGAAACACGCGCGTGTTTTACGATATACGCCATTAACGTAATTACGGTGCCGGCTTCCGCACGCCACAAGCCGATCGCTTCTTGTTGCGAGGCGGCCACCCCACGTTCGTACAATGTACACGCGTGGTGCGAACTAACACATCGAATAAAATGTATTTCATTCGAAATTAGCGCGCCCTGATTTTACCGAGCGCCAAGTCCACCCGTACAGGCGGAAAATTAATTTGCGCCTTCACATAAACGCGATCTATAAATGGAAGCGCGGTACACACGATATCGATGGCTTTTTTCATATGTATACATTCTACGTTTATATAATTATTAGAAAGTACGCGTATACGCGGTAACGGAATTAGACGGCTCTCGGCCCTTGGCACGAGGAAGCAGGTCAACTGGATTTTTTTTTTTAGCGAAATTCTTTAGAAAGATTAAACTACAACTCGCGTTTTTTTTTTGTAAAAATAATTTTTTTTAGGATTTCTTTTTTCAGAAATTTAAGTAATTTTATATACGTATGTTTTTTGTTTTTTTTTCTTAGTGGTCGATCTTAAGAATAATGCGTAGTTATCTACTAGGGCTGGTGATTTGCTTCGAAGGCTTCGACATTCGAAGCTTTGAAGGTTCGAAGATTTGAAGCTTTGGCACTAAAATCTTTGAAGATCGAAGTTTCGAAGCTTCGAAGAATGAAAATTATACAATTATTAATTTAATAGTAATAATACCGCGATTACTATCGAGGTACACATTTATAAAATTATATGATAAAATCCGAGTAAAATTTCTAATGATGCAATAATTAATGTTGATATATTTTTTGAGCATATATATTAATTCCTTTTATTTACAATATTTTTAATGTTCCCTGAATTCGCCATTCGCATATATTTTTCGAAACTTCGAAGTTGTCAAAAGTAACAGTCCTATTATCTACGGTAATGTAATTGAATGCAGAATATTCGTTAATTGGTCGTTTACTGGTGCGTCTTGCCTAACGCAATTTGCATATGTGTATTTTTACTGCCTAATGCAACTGAATTATGCATCGAAAGCGCCATTCGCTTATAACACACATATCATTAAAAGTATGTTCGTACAATTTTGTTTGGATAATTTTATTTAAGAAACATCGCCTTCAGATGCACGCAAATCACTTCTTAATATTAAAAAGAAACTGCAGAAGCAGTATTTAAAAAAAATTTGAGACGAAGTATTCTTTGGAAGGAACATATATACATACATGAAACCTGTTTCTAATACACAGTTGGAAAATTTGTGTTAAATTCAACATATATCGCATGTCCCAAACAATCCACATAAATTTTTGTATTAATTTAACATGATATGGATATGTTAAATGGTGACACTAATACTATGTTAATATTTCAATACAAAAATTAAATGCAAATTTCATAATAATTTGAAATAATTTTTATATAAAAACAACATGTGTAATTTTATTGACGGTCTCTAGACACTCTCACTTTTATTATAGAATAAAATCAACATTTTTTTTTTGTAAATTTTAACAAATAAATTCTGTCACTAATAATACGGACCATATCTATTGTGAAGAATTAAAAATATGTGCATATTATGCTATTTTTACACTTTTTTCGGTTGTTTTAATAATTTAACATTTGAGTTCAATTAACACAACAGCAATATCATAAATTAACACATGAATATGTTAAATATTTAACACAAAAATTTTAACCGGCGTATTTTTTAACAAGAAAACAAATTTTCCAGCTGTGTAGCATATCTCTGGCAAAAAAATTTCTTCCTCGCTTCTTAACATCCTTTTTAATTTTTAACTACTAGGCTCGCGCGCAAAGGAGAATTTTTTGTATATTATCGAAACGGAGTCTTCAATTATCGGGAGTGAATCGAGATAAATGCATTAAAATGAAATGCACGCGTGTGCGAAACATCAAGGATCGCGATGTATTCCAGGGTTTTCATTATCATGAGATATTAGTTCGCGTCATTTGTTATGCGCTCGCCCTTTGCCATCCTACGGAGTCTCCTGTAAATGGCGCTGCTCGCTATACGTTCGATCGATCGCGAAACAAACATTATAAAATGACACGCGACGCGAGAGAACGATATTCGCGCGGCGGCGGCGGCCGACCGGCCACGCGAATGCGGATGACATATTCGCATGGAAATGTACAGCCCCCGCATTAATTTATTCTACGTTGCCGTTATACACGTGTCGCTAAACGAATATTCATTACGATTCCTACACCCTTTCCCCCGGTCGCGAAGACGGGGAAAGAGAAAAAAATATCGCGTATCTATTTATATATCTCGATAATAATTATATATACGTTGCGCGCGAAATTATTTTCGTCCCCCGCGCGCATCCTCGGGCGATTTACAGGCCGCTTCGTGCGTTTTGGGAACAAAAAGAGTGTATCCGTCACGAGTCTGGCGCGGGGCAAATGATACATACAGGGACAATAACGGATACCGTGTTTTTGGTATTGAAATCAACATTGCTTAATAGACAAATTATGCATACCAGTTAATTTGACTATACGACAAATTTCTTCTTCTATATTTATATATAAAAGCGAATATTTAAAAAAAAACCACAGAACATATCTATTGTGTAAAATTAAAAATATGTACACATTGTGTTATTTTTACGCTTTTTTTCTATTGTTTTAATTATTTAACATTTGAATCCAATTAACAGCAATGTTAAATTAACACATGTGTTAAATGTGTTAAATATTTGGTAAATTTGCATAAAAGGTTACATCTCACCGATTTTATCGCCACTTAAATATGTTGTAGGGGAGATTCTTCTGAGTAATTCGCCGCAAGAAAAAAGTGGGGGAAAGCATTCGTTCAGAAGATATGACAAATTAAAGTTTGATATTAAAGTTTGTGTATGCTGTAATAATCTATTATTTTTTTATTGAAAAAGGCTTACGACTTTAACGCGTGGACGGAGGAGGGGCGGGGCCTCTCCCCCTGCACCCCCCACCCCGAAAAAATTTCACCCCAAAGCTACAATTTGGGTTATATAACGTAATCCTAACCAAATTTTAGTTTTAAATCAGAAATAGGTTTGGGTTAGGTTATATCTTCCGGAAGTGGAGCCCCCCGTAGGGGGAGGGGGGCGAAACCTACTGCGTCCACGCATATACTTTACAACGCGAAGCGAGGTCCACCCCACAATTGTTGTGTGGACAGTGATGCCAGAAACGGGTCCCGCGGCTCACGGCTCAGCAATGGAAGGGGTAACGCACACAA